TTGTTGTTATAACTACAGGAAACAATGTTTACCCTTGTTATTATAACTACAAGAAACAATGTTTACTCTTGTTGTTATAGCTACAGGAAACAATGTTTACTCTTGTTGTTATAGCTACAGGAAACAATGTTTACCCTTGTTGTTATAACTACAGGAAACAATGTTTACTCTTGTTGTTATAACTACAGGAAACAATGTTTACTCTTGTTGTTATAACTACAAGAAACAATGTTTACTCTTGTTGTCATAGCTACAGGAAACAATGTTTACTCATGTTGTTATAGCTACAGGAAACAATGTTTACTCTTGTTGTTATAGCTACAGGAAACAATGTTTACCCTTGTTGTTATAACTACAAGAAACAATGTTTACCCTTGTTGTTATAACTACAGGAAACAATGTTTACTCTTGTTGTTATAACTACAGGAAACAATGTTTACCCTTGTTGTTATAACTACAAGAAACAATGTTTACCCTTGTTGTTATAACTACAGGAAACAATGTTTACTCTTGTTGTTATAACTACAGGAAACAATGTTTACCCTTGTTATAACTACAGGAAACAATGTTTACCCTTGTTGTTATAACTACAGGAAACAATGTTTACCCTTGTTGTTATAACTACAGGAAACAATGTTTACTCTTGTTGTTATAACTACAGGAAACAATGTTTACCCTTGTTATAACTACAGGAAACAATGTTTACTCTTGTTGTTATAACTACAGGAAACAATGTTTACTCCTGTTGTTATAACTACAGGAAACAATGTTTACCCTTGTTATAACTACAGGAAACAATGTTTACTCTTGTTGTTATAACTACAGGAAACAATGTTTACTCTTGTTGTTATAACTACAGGAAACAATTGTTTACCCTTGTTGTTATAACTACAGGAAACAATGTTTACTCTTGTTGTTATAACTACAAGAAACAATGTTTACCCTTGTTGTTATAACTACAGGAAACAATGTTTACCCTTGTTGTTTTAACTACAAGAAACAATGTTTACCCTTGTTGTTATAGCTACAGGAAACAATGTTTACCCTTGTTGTTATAACTACAGGAAACAATGTTTTCCCTTGTTGTTATAACTACAGGAAACAATGTTTACTCTTGTTTTATAACTGCAAACAATGTTTTGCCCTTGTTTTTTAACTGGAAAACAATGTTTACCCTTGTTTTTATAACTGCGGAAAACAATGTCTACTCTTTTACACAGCTACAGAAACATATCGTACTCCGCCCCCCTCCCACCTCCTTCATTCCGTCTCCAGGTGCCCTTAAAGCACTTGGATTCCGTTATTCCTTTGTTTCGTCATTTTAGTATGTTATCTGGGTCATTTCACAGACACTTTTTGAGCCAGGAAGCTGAAACGTGGACACAGTAGTGGTCAAATTCTTTGACAAAAATAACTTTCATATTTTTTACTGGTTTGGCAAGGAGGGTGGTTGGTGTACTGTACCCCTGTTTATTTTCCATTAGTGCCATGGCTACAGGACACGTTGTTTATTCTTGTCACAGTTGTAGAAACACTGTTCACCCTTTTGCCTTATTAGCAGCAAACACTGTTTACACTAGTCATAGCCAAGGACTATAAACAGTATTTTATCCTTGGTATAGCTGCAGTAAACATTTTGTTTCGTTTTTTCATACCTGGAGAAAATAATATTATCCGTTTTCTTACACCTGAAGTAAACAATGTTAACGTTTACTGTCAATGTTGCAGTAAAGATTGTTTACGCATATTATCAGAGCAAGAGAAACAATATACAGTTTCCAGCCTATTACTCATATTATCCTATCTCTAACAGTCATACCCCCTCAAACTATAATATCTCCAACACTATACCCCTCATACTTTCCTATATCTAACACCCATACCCCCTCATACTATCCTATCTCTAACACTCATACTCCTATATCCGATCTCTATCACCCATACTCCCTCATACTATCCGATCTCTAACACTCATGGTCATAATGACGATTTTTTTTAGTATATTGATTATAACCTTCCTATCGGTGGTGATAATAACATGAATCTCGCCGTGTCGCTCCGAGTATCGTGTGTTGGTGCGAGCGTCGCCCACCACCATGACGACCGCTTAAATTTTTTATAATGGACCGGATAATTTTCTTTGCCTTGCACGAAGTCAGGTTGTGATTTATCTACAACACTCATGGAAAGATCACGCATTATACTTACACTTCTCTTATATACGACCGCTCAATATACTTCCAATAATCTTGTGGAGAATCACACAATATGTCCAGAAAACTGTGAGGGCAAACTTTTTGGAAGTGAGAGTTGTGAACTCTTGTAACTATCTGCCAGAAAGTGTTGTGACGGCGGCACTGAGGGTAGGCTCTTTCAAGAACAGACTTGACCAACACTAGAGCAGGTTCAGATACATTCAGTAGCCGGTGCATGCCCAGTACTTGCTAAAGAACCGATCAGTGGTGAAGCGAAAAAAAAAAAAAAAAAATATATATATATATATATATATATATATATATATATATATATATATATATATATATATATATATATATATATATACATATATATACAGTATATATATATATATATATATATATATATATATATTTTTTTTTATATATTATATATACAGTATATATATATATATATATATATATATATATATATATATATATATATATATATATATATATATATATATATATATATATATATATATATATATATTTTTTTTTTTTATACAGTATATACAGTATATATATATATATATATATATATATATATATATATATATATATATATATATATATATATATATATATATATATATATATAGTAAATCACTGTAGGTGCGCGTGATCTAGGTATATGCTGATAACCACAAGGAAAAAAGAAAACACGAAGTTCCCAAGCGCTTTCGTGTAATTCACATCTTCAGGGGTGAGTACAAACTACGGAGACGTACAAAACAAGGTGTATATATACAGACGAATGTGAGATCAGGTCCACAATGGTCAGGTATTAGGTAATGACCTTACTAATCTTTAAATAGCACCGCAACGGTCGGTAGTCAGGTCAGATGTTGATTATTGGGCTGCGAACGGTTCTGAGAGTCTCCATCACAGTGATGCTAAATTTTTGGATGCAAAATCAGCAGTACAAAAAGATGCAAACAATGTCGGTCGCAAATGCACACCAGCCATGTTTGAGCGAAGGAATCGAAATGGGGAAGTTGTAAAGCGTTCTTGGCTTTGTTTCTCCCCCTCAAATGGGCGGGTCTACTGCTTCTTTTGCAAGCTAATGGGTGTTTCAAGATCTCAATTCACATCTGATGGGCTCTGCGACTGGAAGCATGCTAATAGGCTTGTTGTCCATGAGCAATCAAAGGACCACATTCAAGCAGTTTTGTCAGCAGCAAGTCGTGCAAAGGGAGCTGGAGGTATAGATTCCAAACTAACTACGCATGTGGGTCAAATTGAGCAGTATTGGTGATGTCTTCTAAAGCGATTGATCAGCGTGCTTAAATTTATATGTGAAAGAGGGCTAGCTCTTCGTGGAGATGATGAAATAATTGGATCTCCTTATAATGGAAATTACTTGGGATTACTAGAGCTCTTGGCCGAGTATGATGATTTCCTCAGGAAACACATCCAGAATCATGCTAATCGTGGCACTGGTCATATAAACTATTTGCCTTCAACCATCTGTGAAGAAATTGTCAGACTAATGGGCAATGAAGTACTGAACGAAATTATCTCACGTATAAAGCTCTCAAAATATTACTCAATTTCTCTAGATTCCACCCCTGATGAAGGCCATATTGATGAATTAACTCTGAATTAGTGGTAGGAATGTGTGGTGTGTAAACGCAAAAATACCCTGATTTTTGTACTTTACCTCACACTCTAATTTACCTTCTGTGTTCAAAATCTCTCCAGTATAGGTTCTCAACTTGACACCTGAGTCTTCTAAAGGAACATGCGCGAATAACTTCTCATACATATCTCTACTCATTATGGAGAAATCAGCTGCAGTATCCACTTCCATGTTTACAGTTGTGTCATTAATACACAAGTCCACATTATACCTATGTTCAACTTTCTCTTCATGACTGGTGTAAATAGTAAATACATGGGCACTAGCCGTGAAGGTCATACTCAACGCGCTCAAACAAACAAGACCTAACAAGGTGGAGGTCAACTATCAACCCACGCCTACCCCACTATATAAGACCTCACCCCGCCGTGACCTACCTCTCTCTTCTACCTACAGCCACCAGCAAGCAACACCTCCTCTGCTCCTGCCGCTGTGAGTTTCCCATCACACCTCCATCCATAAGTGCGAGATCTCCTACGTGTACGTATATATGAGAGCCTAACAAAGAGAAAATTGACAACTGGCCCCATACACTACGCTACAATATCTTATGGTAGAATATGTCACCAAAATTATACAGTTCCTTTATCGAAGTACCTACCAGTGTCATCAATAAGTAGTGTCACAAATTGTTAAACTGATTATCGCGAAAATGGATATGAAAAGGCACTAACATCACCCCAAACATTAGCTACTGAACTAATTGCAGAGCCCATTAAAAGTACAAGAGTGAGGCTCATGAAAATGCAATTCAAATAATAGTGTGTTGATGAAGTTCCAAATGGTAAAAGCCGGTTAAGAAAATCTGGAACCTACTTTCACTTTCTTTGCGGAATAATCTTTATAAGAAGGTTTTGTGAAATAGCTAGAATTATCTTTATATAAACGACCTCTCATATAATGGCGAGAAACTTTTTTTTAAATCCGATTCAGTTTATGATGTATTATCAATACAATTTTGATCTAATTTTTAAATTTTAATAATATATACGTATAATTTATATACAAATTTATAATTCTAATATGTTCTACGAAGATATATATTTAATATTGATTACATATGTAAAAGGAAGTTGAAATCTTTAGTTGAGGACAACCCGTAAGTAAGTTGTTTACCCCTGGCCTGTGATGGTCGCGGTGCTGGCGGCTCACTTGGCTGTTTAGTTAAAAGATGTTAAAGTCCTGAATATATTTCATCATGAGTGAACTTGAGCTGTCGACAAGGGACAGGGTAAGTAAAATATTTGTAAGAGTAACTAATAAGTACAAGTTTAGTGTTAACATAAGGTTATTGACTCTTGCTGACCACGTATTGTATAGTGTGCCAGTCATCAGTACTGTACAGGTCTTAGTGGTGGTTATTTCTCTTCCTTGTGTCTAAATTTGGTAATATTCTGGGTAAAATTATCGTTTCGGTCTTCCACCAATTTGGAAGTTGAAATTGTTTTTCCGGTGATTTATTCTGTGTTTTGAACGGTTTTCACCTTCATTTCTACTGCAAGTCATTAAGTTTTTGGCTACATGTATCCTTCCTTATCCAACGAGGTTAATATCCGTCCAATGGCCGCCCGCAGTGGATATTTTGCCGTGGCCGGGTAAGGTCCCACTAACGCGATTTTACCTTGAGTGCGTTCTGATTGGCTAATCATCCTTTGCTGGCGAACAACGTGAAAACTATATTTGACCGTGACTGGCGACATTTGGCTTTTATTTAGCCGTGAGTCGATCGTTGTGAAGCTGTAAACATTATCATTATAAAAGAGGCGACATTTACTAGAACATGACCTAACCTTACCTAACTTCCTATCCGGGGGACGGACCCCCTCGTCAAATTAAACAGAAGGTACTTAGCCAATCAGAGCACACTTTTGGTAAAATAGCGTCAGTAGGTTCTTAGCCGGTCACGGCAAATTAGCCGCTACGCAATATTAACGGAGTATCTCACAAATTTCAAGGTGTAAATTTCTGTACCCGCCATGTTGCTAGAGTCACTTCAAGTATCATGTCATGCGACTGTCCCCCCTCCCACTGACTTAAGACAGTTTTTCATGCAGATTAGTTTCACAGATTCAGGCAAAACAGGAGGGCAGTAATTCCCATTAGAAATAAAATCCATACAGAATGAATAACTAGAAATTGTATCCAATCTGATTATAGTGTTGGGAATAATCCTAGAAGAAACATGAGATATCAGCCATGTAGAGCTGTGATATGCATTGGTAGGTAAAACAAAAGAAACATTAATTGGATTCTTCTCAAAGCTTCAACTGAAGGTGAAGTCTTATACAATCTCGTGAAAAGGGTCTTCAGTGAGCTCGGTCTAAATTTGGAGGTCCTTGTGGATTAGTGTTTCTGTGGTGTCACCGTGCAGTGGCAGTCGTAAAACAGTAGCAGCTGAAATGAAAGAGTACAGTACTCGCCACAAGTCATCTCATCAGTCTTTTGGGGCAAAAAACTTTGAGTTAAGCAGAGCCACTTAGAAATACACTTAGTACAATCCAAAGCCTTTATAGTTTTGGTAATATTTGATGAGAGTGGTCTGGCCTTGGCAGCTAATAGACAAAATTTCCTAATAGAAGATAAAAGCTTTCTTACCTCAAGAAACATACAGTATAAAAAATGTGCCATGAATATATTTAGCATCACTCTACTGTTATGATTTTTTTTTTCCGTGTGCAGAGGAGCTCTCGGCCCTCTGTTCGCCCACCATGATTGTATACCGGGTACTTTACTTGGAACAGTCAATGATGTCTTTCAGTCATAGATTGTTGTTGTTGTTCTCGAAGATTTTTGTTTGTTTTGTTTTTGTTATTTATGGAAGATGAAGATCTAATAGCAACTCCCTTAAATGTTTATAGTTTTCTCATCTGACACCTTAACTCAGAGGTGGCGATATGGTCACCAAACACTATATCTGACGGTGTGGGTGGGGATGGGTGAAGGTGGGTGGGTGTGTGTGTGTATGAGGGAAGGGGTGTGGCTGTATGTGTGTGAGGGAGAGGGCGGGCGAGGAAAGGGGGTGTTGGCTAATGCACACTCCCATCACTCAACTGGCAGCCTACTGCCCACCATGTGGTCAGTCACTTACCAAGCAAGTAAACAAACTGGGCTGCCTACTCAGAGAAATAATGTACAGTGGGTAAGAAAACAGATAAATACTATCATGCCTCTTTTACCGGGGCCTTGGCCAACAGATTTTCATTTAATGGACATGAAAAAAATATTGATTTAATAAATACATATATTCCCCTATTTACGATGGGGTCACCTCCCTGTAAAACCCATCGCAGGTTGAAATATCGTAAATTGGTATTATAACATGGGGCTCAGTGGGATATGTTCCCAGCCGGTCTGCCACCCACGTGTATCACCGAAAGTAAAATTCCTACAATAATAATATTGTACAGTATACATAAATCCAGGGTTGACAAAATACTTTATTTTAACACCAAAAAGAATTTATATATATATTTTTTTGCTTTAAGTGCTATTATGTTGGTTTTAATAAGTTTTAAGTATTTTTAACCATTTTTATAACTTTTTAATATGGTATTATGTAATCATAAACATTACATTCAGGATAATTTAGTAATCAATTACTGTATACGCTTTTCCATATAAAAAAATCACTGTTAAATGGCCAAATTTAAAAAACAAAAGCTTTGATCAGTCATCCAGACTCATCCTACATGCTTAATGGCAAAAACTAAGTTTAAGTTCATCTCAATGCCTGGAAAAAATATTCTACTTTTACAGTTGAAAGTTTTAAATAATTAATTTAAGGCCAATTGGAGAGAGAGAGAGAGAGAGAGAGAGAGAGAGAGAGAGAGAGAGAGAGAGGAGAGAGAGAGAGAGAGAGAGAGAGAGAGAGAGAGAGAGAGAGAGAGAGAGAGAGAGAGAGAGAGAGAGAGAGAGAGAGAGAGAGAGAGAGAGAGAGAGAGAGAGAGAGAGAGAGAGAGAGAGAGGAGAGAGAGAGAGAGAGAGAGAGAGAGAGAGAGAGAGAGAGAGAGAGAGAGAGAGAGAGAGAGAGAGAGAGAGAGAGAGAGAGAGAGAGAGAGAGAGAGAGAGAGAGAGAGAGAGAGAGAGAGAGAGAGAGAGAGAGAGAGAGAGAGAGAGAGAGAGAGAGAGAGAGAGAGAGAGAGAGAGAGAGAGAGAGAGAGAGAGAGAGAGAGAGAGAGAGAGAGAGAGAGAGAGAGAGAGAGAGAGAGAGAGAGAGGGAGAGAGAGAGAGAGAGAGAGAGAGAGAGAGAGAGAGAGAGAGAGAGAAAGAGAGAGAGAGAGAGAGAGAGAGAGAGAGAGAGAGAGAGAGAGAGAGAGAGAGAGAGAGAGAGAGAGAGAGAGAGAGAGAGAGAGAGAGAGAGAGAGAGAGAGAGAGAGAGAGAGAGAGAGAGAGAGATATATATATATATATATATATATATATATATATATATATATATATATATATATATATAATCTCTGCCTCGGAACCAACCCCCCATCCCCGTGTGCCCAGCCATCTTTTCTACTAATGTAAGTGTTAAAAAACCTAATATTATTGATATTTCTCTTAATAATTAATTGTGTGTGCATACCATCATAAAGTTAAGAAGTTATTTTTACTACAATGTATGTATTGTGTCTGAAAAAGTGGAGTTTGGGGGTTGGCCCGGTCTCTATTTCAATTAATCCCATATGTTATGTTGTTCACTTTACGCGTTTCTCACTTTACGTGGGCCGCCGTGGGTTCAATTGACCGCGTAAAGTGAGGGTTCACTGTATATAATATAATTTTTTTTTCTGGGTTTTTAAGATGAAATTTGTATCCCTGCAGGTGGTGGAGCTGCTGAACACAGCTGCCTTTCTACCATCAGAGAAGGAGAAGATCGCAAACCTTGCTCAGGTCCAGGAACTCATCATTCATCATGACTCACAACTGCTTGATTCATTCTTTGAAGAAGTTGCTGCCTTCCAGAATGATAGGAACTCGGATGTTCGTAAATTCGTTGTTGGATTTATCGAAGAAGCATGGTAAGTCTAACATGACTTGCTGTACCGTACTGGGTGTCTTGTAGGTCTTGTACTGTCACGTTCAAGATTCTTCGAACATTGCTGGAGACAGCTGGCAACTCAAGGCCGTTTGTTTACTATACTACGTAATAAATATTATGAATGAATGTAAAAGTGATCGGTGATTGGTTACTTAGTTCCCCGTTGCTTAATTAATGGTTGGGCTTTGTTGTTTCGCATTATATTATACTTCTCTGCTGGTATATACAATTAATTTGATTTTAAAATGGATAGAGCAATGAGTCAACCTATATGAATTTATATTTAGATAAATAAACATAAGTAAAAATCGTTAAGTATGTTAAAGAACATCATGCATCGGGCACAGCTGTGTGCAGGTTGGTTATGAGGTTGCCTGTTTATCATTAATTTATACTAATATTATCTTCAAACGTTTAATCCCTTTCGGGTAATTAATCCATTTGTATATAACCGATGCAAAACAAAACAAATTTCTAAAGACGCTGATTTCTTGCAACACAAACTGCTGTTTTACTTACCTGTGTGTAATAATAATAATAATAATAATTAACGGTTTATTGAAAGAGAGCTTGGCAGCCAGAAGGCTGAAAATATACAGTTACATATTTGGGGAATGGGTTTCGAATTACAAATAATATACAAGTAACATAAGTGATACAAATAAGATATATAATAACTAGATGGGGAAAAGCTCAAACTACAGGGCATTTCAACATAGTGACAGTGCAAGAAGTAGTATTTACTGGGAGTGAATACACTGGTTTATTACAAGTTATTGATAATTTTTACAATAGTTGGGACTGGTCTGTTCTTATAGGGATCAGTTCATGCACGTATGGGCTGGATGCGGTTGTGGTGTCGAACAGCAATTCTCGGGCAGGGGATCTCAGGTGGTAGTAGGAACTGGTGTCGAGGATGGTGTAGAAGCTTCTTACCAAATTTGCAGATGAGGTCGTGGTGATGGTCAGTGAGAGTCGAAAGGGTCAGTGTGTTGAGCGCTTCTTGATATGCGTGTGCGCGCGCGTGTGTGTGTGTGTGTGTGTGTGTGTGTGTTTAATAATGATGTTGTTCAATTGAAGGTGATGGTAATTAATCTTAGGAACCATCCGTCTGATGGTGTGACTTAGTACTGTAGCATATGCCTAATACTTTTACAAGCCATTATCTAGCAATATCATTGTCATTCCAAGACTATGAATACTGTAAGCAGCAAATGGCATTTCTTTCGTTGAGTGACTCTTTTCCTAAATCCTTGTTTCTGACTTGTGTCGAGTACGTCACGTTTAGACTGGTGTCTTTAAAAAATATTCAATTTTTTCCAAAAATGTGTATGATGTATTATAAATTTGTATCTTATTTATTTATTTATTCGTTTTTTTTTATAAATGCATAATGAATATAAATATAACGCTGACGTTATTGGCGGGAAGGTGGGGGAGACAGAGGTGTTGTCAGTGCTGACTACCCTTCCACTCCCTCAAGTAGAAGGACCTTGCCAACATGGAATACCACACGCAGAAAATCACTGAACGTGGAAGAATAATCGGCATGAAAGAGGCTGGGTTTTCACCCACTGAAATTGCACGAGAATTGGGTTTTTCTCGGTCAACTGTATATTATTGGATTAAGCGATGGGAAGAGGAGGGAAGTTTAAAGGACCACCACAAGACGGGAATGCCGCGCAGAACAACACCTGCACAAGTTGAAGCCATCCTGAATTTCGCTGAGGCCAACCCCTTCAAGACTTCATTTTCAATAAGAGAGGATCTACAATTAAATATTTCCCCTTTAACAATCAGGCGAAGACTTCACGAAGAAGGCATTCACCATAGAACTCCCGCCACCAAGGAGAAGTTAAATGAGCGACATCGCGAGGGCAGGTTGCAGTTTGCTCGACGGTATGCTGAAGAAGGCTTAGATTTCTGGGGAAGAGTAATATTCACTGACGAAAAAACTTTCTCATCTACCACTCACTGAAGGTTGCATTGCTGGAGGAGGAACAACACCCGATATGCTAGACAGCATATTTATGAGGAAGCAAGGAGTGGGCATGTGACTTGCAATGTTTGGGGATGGATATATTTGAACGGAGTTGGAGAGCTGACTGACATAGAAGGAAGATTGACAGCTGAACAGTATTTAGAAATACTCAAAGAAGTTATGCTTCCCTCGGTGCGTGCATATGCTTTCCCGTTTCCCGAAAACATCATTTTCATGCACGATAGGTGTCCTATCCATACTGCACGGATTGTAACGCGGTGGTTTGCAGAACAAAGAAATGTGCAAGTTTTAGACTGGTCAAGTAAAGGTTGTGACATGAACCCTATAGAGAACGTTTGGGGCAATATTGTGAGCGTGTGGGAGCCAGCTGAAGAGAGAACCAGGGTGCAGCTACAGGAGCATACACACCGTGAGTGGGAGGTCCTGAGGCGGACACCGCAACTGATACACAATCACGTCGCCTCCGTTCCCAACAGACTGCAGCAAGTAATCGAGAATTAAGGTGGCTGGACTAAATATTAATGTGTCAGAAATAATTTTCCTATGTAATCAAAGTCACATACTGAATGCATCTGAATATCTGTCAAATTGTATAATAAATGTAAAGAAAACAATCTTCTTCTAATATCCCCATTTGTGCAGTATGTATTCAGGATAATTTAAGTCAAACAAATCCTAGCATTATACTTATAATTATTATGAGAGTACAGTATCATATATGATAAATATATTGCATGTGAAATAATTACTATATCTACCACGTTAGTTTTTAGTTTAACAAATTTATTGACAAAGCTTGTAGTATAGTTTGCCTATTCTGAGTAATTCAGTCAGGTTTTGACACTGAGGATAGTCTCACTTCTCACTACCACGCAGGACAGAGTTTCATACACAAAGGAATACAACATATTATAGAGGTCAGATTCATGTGGGTAATGTCACTGTTCACTGCCATGCAGGACAGAGGTTCATACACAGAAAGAAAGAAATACATCATATTCATTAGCAATATATATAGGTCAGTGGTTCACATACATTGGACGTCATATTCTAATTGAAGACTAATCAGTGTGGGCTAGCAAATTTGGGATAAACAGCAAGAATGTTCTCATGCACCCCCGATTCAATGTAGTAATTACAAAGGTCAACCAAGGAAAAAATCAGAGAGGGAGACAGAGACAAAGAAACAACTGTATAACGACACAATTCCTACAATATGTAATGGTCCGATCACAGCTGTCCGATCCGGCTCTTGAAGGCACCTGTGATGAGGAAATTGATCTTTCATATTTCAATCTCATAATCTCATATTTAATAAGTTCATGTCATGCCTTTCACAATATATTTATGTATTCTTGGATAACGTTTACTGTTGTAACCGCCCAATGAGCGACTGTGGGAGAAAGACCCTTGCCCGTAGAACTCGATTGTTCTTTATTTGAGTAGAGTGGGGTGATAAACCATATAAAAACTTACGTGTTTCCGGTCTAATGTAGGACTTATTAGCTCCCTGACTTGTTAGCTCACTGGATGGCTAGAGACTATCTTCTGAACCCCACAAGGAGCGAGTCAGCCCGAGGCGAGGGCCATCTGTTTCACATTTAACACCTCAGCAAAGTTCGTTGTCAACACTGGCTCTCTCCTGTCTCCCTTTCTCTCTCTCTATCCCTCTCTTCTAGTTTATCCTACTGTGGTGGTAACAACTGTAATGGTTGTATTTGTATATATTTTTCTCTTTTCAGTTATTATAACAAATGGGAAGAAATCTTTGCCAAAATACCAAACTATGTTACAACGTTACCCCACAATAATTTCATAACTTACAATAATGCTCTAACACTCACGCACACTTGCATAGACACATACACACGCGCTCGTGAAGAAAGTCGATTTCAACGGAGTCCCTTACTGTTTTTATTAATTATAGAAAAAAAATTATTACATTAATTAATTAAATCTCGTACTGTAGGTGTAGCTAATGCGGCAGCATATGTATTGTATTGCATTGTATCCATTACGATTGTCCTCCGAGTAGACTTAGCTTATATATTTCAAATGACATTTCTTTCGATTATTGCTTGTTTGTCCGCAAAAAACCTTGTTTTTAAACTGGTTCATCGGAGGATCTCATTGGAAAGTCTTTCATTTCGTAAAAACTGTGTACAGTATTACCCCGCTTTACGCGGTTTCACTTTCCGCGATTTCTCATTTACGCGGTGCCTCGCCAGAACCGAACTTTCACTTTCCATGGTGCATCTACTCATATACGCGGGAAGCGGCACGGGCAGGATGCGCACAAGGTCGCCCAGTCATCAAAACATTACCGAGTTCTTCACCCGCCACCCACCACAGCCGGCCTAAGTTAGTGATAGTGAGGATATGGACTTATATGGACTTTGAGGGGTTTGACAAAGAGGCCCTGCAATCCTATGTGGTGGATAGTGATACAATTGATACAAGTGATACAGGTGAGGGCCAATAATCTGCCCTCTGCCTTGGAACCAACCCCCCATCCCTGTGTGCCCAGCCATCTTTTCTACTAATGTAAGTGTTAAAAAAACTAATATTATTGATATTTCTCTTAATTATTAATTGTGTGTGCATACCATCATAAAGTTAAGATAATATTTTTACTCCAACATAGTTGTGTGTCGTCAAAAAGTGGAGTTTGGGGGTCGGGCCAGTCTCTATTGGAATTAATCCCATATGTTCTGTAGTTCACTTAACGCGGTTTTCACTTTACGCGGTACCCTGTGGGTTCAATTGACCGCGTAAATTGGGGTACTACTGTAGTATCCATTTAATGAAATATAATTTAAACATAGATAAATAGATAAAAATAAAACATTATATATAAATTTCTCTTTCCAGTGCCTCACAGGGAATGTAAAATAAATTATTTCATTAAATAAACTTAATAATACAACTGTTTTCACAGAAAAGCATTGACACACACACACAGGCTAAGGCACACACACGCACACACTTACTAGAGGTAGCAGCGAACCGATGATTCTGTTTAATCCCACCGTGAATTAAAATAGCAGTTTACGTTGCATGAAATCTGCGTCTTTAGAAAGAAATCTGTTTAGCATCGGTTACATGCAAATGGATTAATTACCCGAAAGGGATTAAACGTTTGAAGACAATATTAGTATAAATTAATGATAAACAGGCAACCTCATAACCAACCTGCACACAGCTGTGCCCGATGCATGATGTTCTTTAACATACTTAACGATTTTTACTTATGTTTATTTATCTAAATATAAATTCATATAGGTTGGCTCATTGCTCTATCCATTTTAAAATCCAATTAACAGTATATACCAGCAGAGAAGTATAATATAATACAAGACAACAAAGCCCAACCATTAATTAAGCAACGGGGAACTAAGTAACCAATCACCGATCACTTTTACATTCATTCATAATATTTACTACGTAGTATAGTAAACAAACGGCCTTGAGTTGTCAGCTGTCTCCAGCAGTGTTCGAAGAATCTTGAACGAGATTGTACCATGGGAAAATTAATGATCGAAGGTAGCACCCATCACTTCCCTCCTCTCCCTCCAGAGTCATTGTAGGTTTATGGAAAATTTTAACAAGACAGAAACCATTTATTGTGATGAGACATAATATTAACCAAGGTTAATTATATTTATATTATTATTTTAATTTTATGATAATGGAGACAGACTTGATAGGGGCTGGGCTTAGGGATTGTGAGTTTGAGTGTTTACAATGTTGTCAGAACCTGTCCAAGGTATAGTAGCTCCCAACACAGGCATCCTCAGGTAGTCATAATTCTTTTGGTAATTATAAAGAACGGACTTGTGGACATGGGGCACCAGCATGGCAAAGGTGAATACAAATGAAAGTTCATTCACAGTGGTGTTGTACCATAATTTTTTCACTTTGATTTTGCAATCCAAATCATCACAACTACTCCAATCTTATGCATCATGAACAACTCGATGACCTCACTCACATCGTCATGTGTTAGTTTCTGTTCTTGTTCTTCCGTAACACCTGGCTGTTCACTGACATCATCATCTTCCAACAAGTTGTCTGCAGTCACCTCAGGTTGCCTGATTACCTCCAGGATGTCGTCGTTGGTGGTCTCAGAGAAGCCTGCAGCTCTTAACACTTTGTGCAGCCTCTCTTGCAATGTCTAATGCCACAGCAACAGACTGAGCCTCACCAGCCACCGCTTGACTCTGCCTCCCACCTGGGATACCCTCCAACACATGCCGCCACCCGTGACAAATCGTTGCCACAGATAGCTGCCCCCATGCCTCCACCAAGAAATCAACAGCTTTCTTGACGTTAAACAGTTTCCAGAACTGCTTGACTCGCACTTCATGGTCCGCCAAATCTTGTTCCTGATCCTCGCTCTCTCTCTTGGTGCCACTCAGAAGGTTCTGCAATTCATCCTTGGTGTTGGTGAAGTCGTTCAGGAGCCAAAACTTCTTTGCGGAGAAAGCAGCCTTGACGTTGTATATCAACTCCTGATCCATGGGCTGGATTAACGACATAGTGTTAGGGGGAAGGAAGACCACTTTTACATTGGGGTGACGATCCAGCAATAGGGGTGAGTGTCTTGGTGCATTGTCAAGGAGCAACAAAATGTTGAATGGAACATTATGTTGCTTGCAGAATTTCTTCACATCAGGAACGAAACAGTTGTCAAACCAGGAGAGGGACAAACCAGTGAACATCCACGCCTTCCCTGAGGTTAGCCAATGAACATTTAACTTGCTCATGCCCATATTTTTGTAGGCATGCGGCTTGCGGGCTTTGTCGATCACAGACAACTGTAGCTTACAAGTGCCAGAGGCATTGGTCGTGAACAGGACGGTGATGCGCTCCTTCTGCAACTTCCAGCCCCGACACTTGCTGGCAGACTTGACTACGAAGGTCTTGGATGGCAATTTCGTCCAAAACAACCCGGATTCATCCATATTGAACACCTGGTCGTCGGTGTACTGTCCTTCCTCCATAATTTCTCGTAAGAATGGGGGAAAATTCATGGCGGCAGTCCGATCAGCACTTGCTCCTTCACCAACAATTTCAACGTTCGTGATCTTATTACGACATTTGAAACCTTGTAGCCACCCAGCGGAAGCAGTGAAGGGTTTGGGCTCTGCAACTCCCCTTTTTCTAGCAACTGATAGGTACAGATCTCTCACGTAGTCCTGCACTGCCCGCGTGTCAACCGCTACGTTCCTTCTTTACTGACGAATCAAGTACCTGACCAATAAACCTTCAGTCTTGAGCAGCACCTTATTGTGGCAATATTTCACCATCGACTCACCTGCAGACTTTGTGATGCTCATGTTCTTTGATCTTGCCGGCATCCTTCTTGATGGTGCGGATCGTCGATTCATTAACTTCATATTGTCGGGTGAGATCCACCTGTCTTGTGCCTTTCTCTTAACTCCTGGACGATTTTGTACTTCACTTCATAGCTTAAGGTGCGTTGTACCTTCTTGGGCTTGGGGCAGCTTGGGCCAGGTAGTTGAAGGTTTCTCGGGGGAGGTGGGGGTCCAGTGGAAGCCATTGTTGAGCAGATTAGCGGGCACGAGGGAGAACTGTATACGCGGAGACGGAGGACAATGGGACTAACGCTTCTAAGGTCAGCGACTTATTCCCTCTGGTGGCAGGGCACGCCAAGTTAAATTAGACGAATCACAGCTCGCGGCGGAGGGGATGAATGGGTGGTAAGGATGCGTGGCCCACTCACAGTCCGAAACGTCATCTGATGTCAGTGGTGACGTAAGAGCGACCTAGCGTGCAGCTTGTCCGCGGCGCTTCCCGCGAAAATTCAGGATCGTACCGCGTAACTAATAATTGGCGCGTCTGGACAGGTGCCGCGTAAACCGAGACTATACCTGTACTGTATTTTAATTTTTCTATATTGTTTAACATTACAGTACTGTACTTTATTTACAGTATTTACAATACCGTATGGGATATTATTGTTGTTTTGTATGGGCAAGGGTGTGCTTTAACCTAACCTAAACTATGGAGTTAACACTGTTCTGACTTAAGAACAAGTCGACTTACGATCAGGGTTTAGGAAACGTATCCCTGTCGTTAGCCCGGGACTGCCTGTATTATACTGTACATTTAGCAGAGTGGGCAGTGTATGCCTACTGTAGGCTAGTGTGTAGAGGTGCATGTATGGTATACAGTGCATGTACAATCCCTCTTTCATGGAGGGAGAGGATAGCCTGTTGCCCAAGTTACCTAAGCAGATAGCTCACCCAGATGCCCGGAACATGGGGACGCATTGGAGCATAATGCAATCTCTCGGAACTCCTGGAAAATTTGTTCCCATGCCCAGAACAGATAGATTTTCTGGAAAATTTTTCCAGAAAATGCTCATTATTTCATCTTCGGAAACTCGTTACCATGTCAGGAATGGAGAGAATTTTTTTTTTAATTTCTCGAAATGCTCAAAATTTATTCCATCTATTGGAGAGTTTCAGGGACCAGAGATTCTCACTAACAGGGAGATTACTGTACAGTATAGCATAGTAAGGCAGCACCTTTACCAGGTAATACTGTACACTAACGTATTTTTAAGTTTGAGCTGTACAGTTTAGCTTTAGAACTTTATGCATGTCTGTCAAGGGTCTCTTCCCCAAGCCCCTTATTACCCTTTAGACCCAGGCCACATCAACCTTTGGAGAATTCTAGATCATAATCATGGCTGGCCAACCTTGGGAGTACAGTACCAATTAGAATTCTACGATGGTTGGCAAGGGCTGGGTATTACTTTATTTTTAAATGATGATCTACTTTAATAGATTACTCTTCTGATTAAATATATCTGTTCAATTAAAGTGCATAGAAGCTCCAAGTCTTGAGGATACAGTACTGTACAATGGTGATTATTGTACCTTTATTATATTCCTTTAGTAAGAGTAACTGTTAATTTGTATAGCTCTTTTATTAACTGGTACCTCACCCTCACTTCCATGCCAGATAAAAAAAGCTTTAACTATAGATATAGCACAACAATATCTCAGATGAATTTGGTATTTTAGGGAGTAAAGGCCATATATAGTAGTTGAAAAGTGATAGTGTACTTTTAAACTACAATTTGTATAATATTTCCCACAGTTGACTTCACTATTATTTCCTTATAAATTGTTGCAGCAAGAAGGATGTGGCCATGTTACCACGGCTGGTTCCTAATATCCAGCTCCTCTTGAATGATGAGGCAGTAGCTGTAGTGAAGCGAGTCATCCAGGCCGTTGCCCAGCTTCATCGTGCCACCCTAGCCTGGCTCTCCTCGGCGCGTTCTACCACTCCAGAGATGGAACAAGTTTGGCTTATTATCACTACAATTAAAAATACAATTATTACCATGATTGATCATGATAATGATGGGTGAGTGCTTTCATTTTCTTAGTTATTAGTTATTGATTAGGTTAAAATCATGCATCTTAATGGTTACATTGAAAGTAAACTTTTAATTGGTTTTAAAGTTTAATATCAGTCCAAGGAGACTCAAGAACCTGTGTTGTTGTTCTCATCAAGTCTAATGAATCCAACTTAGGCTTGAACCCTCAACATGACTGGCCAAAACTGACAAATAATTAATATATTTCTCCTATCATAGCCATCAACCTATATAGGGATACTGTATCAGAAGTGACAGCTAACACAGAGGTATAAACTAGCTTGCTTAATACGGACCTTCCATATATATCACTAGATTCCCAGTAATGAGCCTCTATCTAGTTATCTTTTTACTTGGAGCAGGTTATTTCTTGGAAAGCTTCATTCTGCCTTTAGCATCACACAACTACTTTAATTGATTTAGGTTGCAAGGGTTACTTCACTTGTGTTTCCAATTCAATTGTTTGTTCAGTTAGAGGTCACCTGTATTACCGCAAAAGAGTAAAACGGCGAATACTCTTTTTTTGGATTTTCACTTGCCATGTAATATTCAATATTATAACCTATAGCCTATCCCCAATCACTTATATGGCCCTAAACATGATTCTTGGTTCTAATGATCCACAAATCTCTCTCCCTCTCATAAATCATTAAATAACTACAGTAGAACCTCGATAAATCGGACCAATTGGGGCAGACCCCAGTCCGAAAAATGTGAAAGTCAGAGAAAAGCGAATATGTGGTGGGGGATAACACAGCTTATCTGAACTGTTTAAAGAAAATCAGTTGTTGTTATGTTATTACTGCACTTCACTAACTAAGGTCTTTAAGTGAAAACCCCGAGCCATTGTTTACAAAGAGCAAACAGCTGATCAGCTTACCACAATGTCTGTCTTCAACACTCAGTAAATTAGTACAGTACAGTTGTGTATTTATCATCACTTAGTAATTACTATTGTAGTGTATTTATCATCACTTAATAATTACTATTGTAGTGTATTTATCATCACTGGTTTATTCATTAATCATTTGTCTAAGTATACAAGTGGCCAAACTGAGTCATCACATAACACTCAAAGGTAGTAAATAACATTTTTAAGAAGGTATCTTCATACTGTATCAATACTATACAATGTGTTATAGTGACCCCTGTTGTAATCTGGTCTGCAGAAAACTCTCACACGAGCACATCATGAGTAAATAACCTTCTGATACAGCTTATCCTTTTATTTTAAAGTTGTATTACAAATTAAATACAGTATTGTATTTTTTCTCTATTACTTTAGATATTATATTAATCATGATAAACCATAAGAGGCCAATCATATGAGAATATAATACTGAATCAATAAATAAATAAACCTGATGACTGCAGCAACACCTGATCAGCCCCAGCCTGCTTACACACTCAAGTGTCTTAGTTCTCAGTAGGTCTATAGCAAATCTCATTAGACCACTGTACAGTATTCAGTAAGTGTGGTTCATTTCATAAGATTTGTTTTATTACCCCCCCCCCCCCTTTTGTGACCAGAGCATCTCAGAGTCCGAAAAAAGCGAAGTCTGATTTATCAAGGTTTTACTGTGTGTACCTATAAAAATACAATACATATGGAATATGTGCTGTATTCACCAGCCCATTTATGTTGTTCTGTCCTGTTGTTCCTCCCTCCCAACTTTCCCCTTTGTACATCACAGCAGTTGATGAGGAATGAATAATGGTTGATGATTGATGTTGATTAATCTGTAGCGAACTGTTGATTCGTTCAAGCCATATGCCCTAGCACATGCCTCTCTGAAGTTTCTTTATTATTTCGACTTTCTCAACACTTCTTTGGTGGTTTACTACTCTTGTCACCACCTTTAGAAGGACATTTTGGAGCCCTGATGGAATTTTCAAGCACAAAACACACAGGGCGCAGCAAGGTGTATACACGGTGTGGCAGGGGACGTGAGTGAGACAGGAGAGGTGGGAAGCTGCACTCTGCAGTAGTGACACCTGGTGGTTTCAAGTGGAAACTTGTTCATGCACGCAATTCAGCTGCATACGAAATCAGTAATACCTGTTGTAATGAAAATATATTTCTGGTGAAAATCTGTGAATAGTTGAAACTGCAAATAAAAAATCTGCAAAAAATGAGAGGGCATTCTGTGTGTTATTTGCTATTACAGTGGTCCCTCGGTTAATGAGCACAATCCGTTCCAGCAGGTTGCTCGTTAACCGAAAAACTCGTTAACCGAAAAACTCGTCAACCGAAACCATTGTTTCAATGGGTTTTTGGGTAATTGGTTCCAGCTCACCGAAAATTGCCTAAATTCAACAAAAAAGGTAGAAAAGTACACTTACTTTGAGGTGTGTATGTAGAAGGCTCCTGGATGATGATGCTGATGATGGGAATTAGAATGGGGGTGGAGGAGAAGGAAGAAGAGAAGGCATTGGGGTGGAAGAGAAGTCACCCCATGGCGCCATTTCACCCATAAAATTTTAGCTCTCGGTGTAATTCAAGATTATTTTCTTTAAATCAACACTGCATTGCATTATGTATTGTCAATATGTAAAATATATTTCAAAATGACCAATAATTTGCTTGGAAACACAGAAAAAAAGCGTTTAGTTGAAGAGTCTCAAGCAAGATGTTACCTCCAGTGAAAACAGAGAGACTAACGCCTGTCTGGTGTGTTAACAGGCTGGATGACAGAAACTAGTTTCTTTACCTTCAATTATGTTCAATAATTGTTAAAATGACTAAAAAGTTAATATTAAACTTTTAAATTATTGAATAGTATAAACTTCTTGATATTTACTAAAATAGTAGGAATTTAAGCCCTAGAACCGATTTCTGTATTGGCGGACTAATACTACAGCTGGTGGACCGCCAAATGCAAGCGAAAACATGTTGAAGTCGGTTAAGTAAAAACTCGTTTATCGAGGTTAACTGTTAACTGAAGTTAGATCTTATGGTAAATCGTTAACCGAAATCTCGTTAACCGGTCGCTCGTTAACCGAGGGACCACTGTACAGTATTTCTGAAGTCCTATATCTGTATGATATTTCTGAATACTGTACATTTGAGAGTTTGAATTTGTAAGTACTACAGCATAGTACAGGTTGTACCCCTCTAGTCCGGCAACCTCGGGACCTGACCGGTGCCGGACCATGGAAATTCACCCTTTTCCTGGATAGATAGTGACTTGTGCTTATGCCTGGAAGCACTTAACCACTTTCTCTGCATCATGGTCTCTTTGAAGACATATTGAAGGGTTAAATGTCGTATAGTAGCTTCTAAAATTTCCAAGGTTTTTAATTCTTAACATATTTTATTGGAACACAAAAAAAATAAATAAATAAAAATTTCGACGGCGGAAACTTGAATTTCGACGGGTTTGAACGGCCCGCCAACGTGCAGACAACGTGCATAATCGTGTAAACAGCATCATTTCTCTTATGTACAAAAGATTCATTATTGTTTATTACTGAATGTCTTTTTTATTGAATTAATGTTTATGTGTGCAAAATGAGCAATACAATTCATTAATAATACGTAGAAAATTAAAACACGAGGAAATGACACAGCATTGTTTTCGTTGATTACAAAACCAGTGATTGACTGGTTCTACATATAAAACTGAAGAAAATAAGACCTTGGTTGTAGCTGTAGTAAAATTAATATGGTTGTTTTAAGTAATGTTATTTAATATTAATAAATGGAACAATAGAAGTAGCTAACGATAATGGTAAAGAAAAAGAGAGATCGCATATGTAAGTGCGCATGCGCACACGTGAAAACATATCGTCATTACTTTACATAAGAATATGAAAGCAACACTTATTTACTGTTCATATATATTTTAATTAATGTTTCTGAATTTGTTTTCATTGAATTAATGTTTGTGTGTGCAAAATTAACAATACAATTTATTAATAATACGTGGAATATTAGAGGAGACGAGACGGCTGCCGGCATTGTTTATGTTAAAGCTTACGAAACCAGTGACTGATTGGTTCTACATATAAAACTGAAGAAAATAAAACCCTGATTTTAGCTGTAGTAAAATTAATGTAAAAAAATTAGTATGGTTGTTTGAAGTACCTGTAATGTTATTTAATGTTAATAAATGGAACAATATAAGTAGCTAACCATTAATGGTAAAAAAAAGTGAGACTGCTCGTATGTAAGTGCGCACATGTGAAAACATATTGTCATTACTCGATATAAGAATATGAAAGCAACACTTATTTACTGCTCATATATATTGAAGGGTTAAATGTTGTACTCTGTATAGACAAGCAGAGAGAGAGAGAGAGAGAGAGAGCAGCCGAACTGCCGGATGTAAACAAACCTCAGATATAGATGTAGATAAAAAAAAAATTTAAATGACACACGCATTTTCTATACCGAAACGTTTCCAGTTAATGTAGTCTCCATGTATAATTAGAAAATTATGGGGGCCCCATGTGCATTCAGCTGACTACATTAAAGGTTAAGTGCTCAGTCACACTGTATCCATTCCTTATTATTTATTACTTTCACTGTACTGTATCCATTCATCATTATTCATTACTTTTACTGTACTGTATTTCATTGTAGATTTTTTTTTTTTTTTATCTATATCGGACTTCGGACCTTATTTGGGTCCGCTGTCTGGGTAGGTGTAAATAAACTAATAATTCAATAAGTAAAAAAAAACGCTGCCTATCTACCTATTGGACAAACTAAAGTCGTTCCGGACCACGGGAGTTTCCGGACCACAGAATGCCGGACTAGAGAGGTACAACCTTGCAGGTTTCCATGTAGTATGGGTACCACAATTTATTAATGGGTATTGTACTAAGGATCCTTTAAATATTTTTATTTATTTATTTATTTTTTAACTTTACCCCTCTCATCACACATTCTAATAAGAAATTCTGACTCACGGTAGCAATTCTTCTTTATTTTTCCTCTGTGTCTTTGACAAGATTTAGATTTTTTTAGATTGCCTCCAAGGGGGCTTGCCTTTATGACTTGTGCATTAAGGGCGTAGAAGCCTGAAGGGTCATGGGTTTTGTCGGCAAGTTACATAAAGTGAGAGAATGATGAGTGTGTGGGGGGAAAGTTCCCGGTACATTTCATGTGTTTATGACAAAGTGTGGCAGGTCCCTAATAATGTCAAGTGCCAGGCCTGTCACTAGGAGGAGGGATATCTGGTCAGGGAGGGAAGAGGTGTTGGTAACGGCTGGGGACCTGTAGGAGGAGGTCATAGGGCAAGTGAGGATGTAGTGAGAGAGGGTGTGAGAGTCGGGTTGACCACAAAGTTTACAAACAGTGCGGCCAGGCTCAGGGTTGCCATTGTACTCCCATAGGTACCTGTACCCTTGGCGCAGTCTCGTGTACATAATCTGTTGAGATCGAGTCGGGGATTGATACTCTTTGTAGTGGCGGTTGTCGTCACCGGTTAAGAGCGTCACAGTGGCGTAGTGTGACGCTACCCCGTTGTTTCAGGTGTGTCCAATGTTCGTAGAATGCTTCTCGTTGTGTGGCGTGTATGCGAGGTTTGAGATGATTCAGGGAGAGGGCGAGAGTGGCTTCAATATCTTCTTCTTGTGTCGCTTCTTTGGCAAGCTGATCAACAGTGTCACAGGCAGTTATTCCTATATGTGACGGGATCCAAAGAAACTTGACACGGATGTCATCAGTTTGTTATAGCCCGGCGATGGCTGCTAGGATGTGATGGGTGTCTTTGACAAGGTAATTCCTTGGTTGGTTGTGTGCTTATCCTTACTACTTTTATCCATCTACTGAGGTTCTGCTAAAAATACTGTGGTGTTCAATCATTTGACACCCCTTGTCTTTGTTTTTTATGGAAGTGTGTATACGTTTTAAAGTTAACCAACCCAGTACTGTATACATAATTCTGGCCTTTTTCCAAGTCCAGTTATCTTTAGTAACATGTAGTCACATACATTAATAATAATAATAATAATAATTAACGGTTTATTGAAAGAGCTTGGCAGCCAGAAGGCTGAAAATATACAGGTGTACATGATAAACTTGCCAGAAATCTCGCGCTTACATATTTTATTCTGTACAGTAGCCTTTGGATGTTTTGCAAGATAGGGAGAATGTTTGCCAAGTAAATATTTATGTTACAGAAATATATACTGTATACAGTGAGTTCTGCTATAACGCGTGTTTTGACAATGCCAATTGGCTCTAACGCGATTTATGAATAGAGGAACGATATTTGCATAACGCGAACGCTTGTTTGTTGTAACACGAGTTTTGCTCACTATTTCTCCAATTTTGTGGTATTAACTGTGAATATGGTAAAGAAGAATATCTCCAAGAAGCGTTCTGGTGATCGCATTCCCGGTGATGATCGTAAAAGAAAGGCTATAACACTTGAAGAGAAGCTCTATGTTATCAACCTCAAAATCACCCTTCTCCCCCATCAAGTTATATTCATATTTTTTCAAGGCAAAGTGTTACATTTACTGTATGATTTCATTATTAGATATGAATGTAACATTTATTTTGACTGTGCTATCCTTTGTGTTAGGCTAACTACTAAATTTTTTTCGATTTCGAGTAATCTGCACCTAACCCTATTTTCTCCATAAGCCCTGTTATTTCTATTACGCGAATTTCTATAACACGATGTTTTACAAGAACACAACTATCGCGTTATAGCAGAACTGACTACTGTAATTCAGTACAAAATAGGGGGTTAGGGATTGTGACTCCCCAAAATTCACCTAACAAACCTTAAAAAGCTTCTTTACTTAGTAAGCACAAGCAAGAAATGTACAGTGGTCTGGTACACCATGGAAAAATAAAGGGAACTGTATACAAATAATGGAAATTGAAAAAAAAAATAGTGCTGCATCACAACTTATTGCATCTGCCTGACCTAGCAATTGCCAGCATCCCACAAATTCAGCGGTAATACTAGATGACATTTGCGCACGTTAACCAGCAACTTGTAAAGTCTCCAAAATGGGAGGGAGTAAGTATTTTGTAATATTATTTTAATGAAAATTTCCTTCCCAAGCATATGTTATTGTAAATCAGAACCTCTGTGCACGGCCGGATTATTCACTGTGCCCAGGTCCTATGAAGGTTTTGGGGGCCAATGAAAATTGAGAACATGCATTTTCACTCTGGTTTGGCCTATGAAGATTTATAGGTCAACAGAATAAATGAAAAAAATCTATAATGTTTGACAAGACAAATAGATTACTGTATAATAAGCCTAGGTGATTATAGACATTAATTTCGTCTGTATTTGTCACTTCTGACTGGCCTGAATCTAAGATCTAATAAAATCAGACAGGAAAAAATCATCACAGGGATAAATAAACTTCACCAAGTTCTTATCAAACATCAGAATATTAAACAACTCAACAGTTTAGTATCAATTATTATACAGTTGTTTCATAAATCATACTAAATACACTTTTTGGCTCTTGGTTGCAGCAAAGTCCTCAATAATGTCCTGAAAGGCCAACTTTTTAACATGATCAATCTGTGCTGAGTAATGCCAGTGACAAAAGGCAATTCTGGCCCTGGGTAAATCTTAGATGGGCTTTTTTTTTTTTTTTAAAGTTTAAAAAATGGCCTCTTACCTTTTTAAGTGGTACTGAGTACATGTACCTGTACAGTACTTAGTTTTTAATAATTCTGCCACTTATTTACTGTCAGGGAGCATTTCTCTGAACAACAGAAACTCCTCAGTAAACACAGACTCAGTGTCATCCTTGAAGCGATTCTTTGTTATTGGTTGAAATTTATAGTTTAGTTAGTTATAATGCTATGAGAACAAGCACATTCCCAAAGGAACAATTTGGATCTAAGTTTAAATAAGGTTCATAAATAAATGGTACATTGGCAGATTTAGGGGCCTATGATAGAACAGTGCCCAGGCCTACGAAACTCTTAATCCAGCCCTGCCTCTGGGTACTGGGTTTCGAACCTGGACCACCACGAATGGTAGTCAGGAAACATATCCACTAGACTACTATAGGCTAAAGCCTACCGCACCTAAACTACTCGGCTGTAGTTCAAGGTTCCCCGTCCACCACTGTGTTAGTGTGTGGCCGTGCATATTTTTGGGATAGAAATAAAGATTCCAGCTTATTCGGTTTAACACTTTGTGCTCTGGGCTCTTCAATATTTCCTGCAGGCTAATACCAGATGATTACTATGCATTTATTTCAATGATTGTTTAGCACTGAAAAGGTTAAAAAACATGTGGACAGGATATTGTGCACAGTAGCATTTTCAGTGATCCTATAGAGCGGGTTGAATTTTAGGTGACAACTGGCAACAGCTCAAATTCTCCTTAGATTATTCAGGAAATACATATGATTGTCAGCTGTTACTGAACAATAAATTAAAGCCTAACTGAAAATATGAATGATGGACACATGCAAATGAAACCTAAAAATTTTATCAAGGAAGCTTCTCGGCAAAACCCCTTGATGTAGCTATATGGGGCAGCACTCGGAACTCACCCTGAGTGGCACATAATCTCACTGCCACTGCTTCCACTTCTTGGTACAGTAGTGACCTTAAATGTTGGTTGGTTTAAGAAAGGGACAACTGCATATGCTGCATGAATCTTATCAACCTTCAATCTGATTCTGGGAATCGTTCTTTCATTTATCCTGTTTCAGTGTGTCACAACTGGTCAAGTTCATCCAAAATTTTAATTTCCTCTTCTAAATTAAATTATCTCTTCTTTCTTTTCTGTATTTGAACTGGAAGGAGAAGCAGTTGCTTAGTGTTTAGACATCTTGGTAAGTGGTGCCTGTGATAAACTCGAGGGGAATTGTGGGAATAAGAGGTGGTGTTTTTGACTGAGTGAACACTAGCTGAGTGACATTGTGACTGCAGCTGGGGAAGTGTGCGTGCATGGTAATTGTATTGGTGGCGGTTGATGTGAAATACTTTTAGTCTGACTTTTCTTGTAAAATGAAAAAATTCTTACTGCGTGTATGAAAATAGTAGTACAGTAATATAGGTAACTTTGAAATAAAAAAATGCAAAATAACCCTAGGTTACTGTACATGAATTGCAATAGATATTATTTAATAACAGTAATATTTTACAATTTCTTTTGTTAAAGAGTGAGAACACAAGCTATCAAGTTCCTTGAAGCACTGGTGTTGCTGCAGACGTATACGGAAGCTGACTCAGTAGTGCGTGATGGAGAGTTCAACCTGGATCAGGTTCCACTTACGCTTAAGGTTGCACGGCCCAGGAAATTGGAAGAGGAAGCAAGGTAAAAAAATAATTTTTTTAATGCATTGCATTAAGTTGCTCTATTATTTAATTATATTAAATATTTGGGAGTCTTTTAGGGAAAAAAAATAGGTTCATGTAATCTTGGGTAATTGATAATGAAGAGGGAGAGAACCCTTTGTTAATATGAACAAGATCACCCTTTTGGGGCAACTGTAGTTAATGAGTATTTTAGCCTGTTTAGCTACAACATGCATGAAATTAAAGAAAATATTTGGGACTTAGAAAACTGCACCATTTTATTTACAGATATCTTCCCAAGGCTTGTTACACAATTTACAGATCTTGAAGGAACTTTATGATACTGTATTCAGTCCTCTTTAATAATATATTTAGCACAAAATATTGATCATCTAACTTGAATAATGCACTTGTCTCTAAAACATGGTTTAACCCTTAAGCCCGGGTTAGGGTGCCAAAATCAACTCGACCTTTCCCAAAAATAATTTTAACCTCTTTAAATGATAAAACAATAAAAAAGAAGTAAGAAAAACTATATATTGACCCTCTAGAAACTTTCTTGGCAGCGTGGAGGGAGGAAGATAGGGGACAGCTTGTTGACGGCGTGCACTCGTGGTCAACTACGCACTTAGCAGCTATTTTTATCTTACCTTTGTGTCCGGGATGGCCAGTAATTTATATATTTACTGATCATAATACTTATTTCCTATAAATAATTCATTTAGAATTTATTTTATTTACATTATTTTTCATAAAAACTGCTAGGCGACACACACCCAGTCTGTCACCAGGCTGTCTGGTTGTCTTTGTGTTTGGGAGAGCAAGTAAGGCATAGAAATAATTATTGGAACAATAATTCCACAAATAAATACATTTATAACATAATCATAGCATTATTTTACAGTAATACTACACTACAATACAACTACACTACTTTTAGCAATATTACTTTGATACAACATGATAAAATGGACAAACAATGAAAATGAAACAAACAAAAGTAGGTAATTACATTCAGGAAGCTTCCCTGTGGCCGAGGTGTGGTGTGACAGGCAAATAGTCACACTGGAACCTGATGACCCTCGCTGGGCATTTAAGCAATGGCGGGAAAAGGTGCGCATTCTGGAACATCACCCGAGGCGTAAGGGTTAAGTGTTGCTTGTCAACGGACTCCCAAATCTAGGCATGCCCTGATTGGCTCCCAATGGAAGGACCATCATTTGGTGTTCTTGTACGGGGATGAGATACAATCTTAGACCAGTCAAGCACTGAAAAGTCCTCTCGAAAATTTTTGACAGCATTGGTGTTTTAATAGCAGACATCCACCCCTAGATGGGTCACTCATGAGGTAAAATATGTGGGTGGATGCCACCTTCAATATTGACTTTGAAGGTCACAAAGGCCAAATTAGGTCAAAATGGCCCTTTTTTTTCTTTATTAGATTTTTGGTAGTTTGCAGCGATTGTAAGGTAGTCCTTATTTTTAGCCTTTGATTTATTAGAAGGTATACTTTCTGTTTTAACCTTTCTTAGCCTTTGATTTATTAGAAGGTATACTTTCTGTTTTAAAATTTCTTAGCCTTTGATTTATTAGAAGGTATACTTTCTGTTTTAACCTTTCTTAGCCTTTGATTTATTAGAAGGTATACTTTCTGTTTTAACCTTTCTTAGCCTTTGATTTATTAGAAGGTATACTTTCTGTTTTAACCTTTCTTAGCCTTTGATTTATTAGAAGGTATACTTTCTGTTTTAACCTTTCTTAGACTTTGATTTATTAGAAGGTATACTTTCTGTTTTAACCTTTCTTAGACTTTGATTTTATACCTGAATGTATGAAATGATTCAACACAAAAGCATGATTTTCTCAAAATGTGTTATTTACGTCTAGAGTACTCCATTTATGTGAACATCTACTGGTACTAGGTACGGTAAATGGAAATGATAGAAATTCTGCTGGCCTTCATCAGGGGTTTAAGGGATGGGAGCTGGTCTTTTCACCTTGAAGCCTTTGTTGCAGTGCTGCCATGGCTCACTATCTACCATATTTTATGGCATATAAGAAGCACTTTTTTGTCAGAAAAATGGCCAAAAAAATCAGCCTGTGGTCTCCCGCAAGCTAATGAATCCCCCAGTTGCCGTCTCCAGTAGGCTAAATTCTACCTAACCCAACTCCAGAATTAAAAATGTTATTGCTTATTTAAACACATTATTATTATTATTTAATTATAAAAATAATTGTTGTAAATATAAAAGGTCGATCTATAACTACTCTGTACTGTACTGATGACGATAACCTGAGACGCTTAACCCTTAAGCCCCGGGTTAGGGTGCTGCTGGCACTACCACCCAAATGGGGTTAAATTGAGAAAAAAAATCAACACTCCAAAATGAATGAAAAAAAATGGCGGGAAAATAGGCGGACGTTCTGTAATGTCACCTGGGGCCTAGGGGATAACGTCTGTATGGCAGACACCCAACCTTTCATAGGTAGTTAAGCAGTAATCATTTTTGAATTCTTACAAGCATTACAGTCTATTAATGCCATACCTGCAACATTTATTTTTCAATCTACAAATAACTGATACAAATGAAGGTTTACATATAACTTTCTTTTCACGTTTACATCTGTTAACTTCACTGGTGGCTTTGTGGCCAGGTTAGACTCGTCTCTGTAACCAGGCTACTGGGCCAAGCTGTTGTTTTTCAACTCGTATTTTGGGTAGTTATATGTAAATACAGTGAACCCTCACTTTACGCGGTTAATTGAACCCACAGTGGCCAGCGTAAGTGGCACTGTAAAAGTGATGCTTACTAAAATAACATCTTAACTTATGATGCATCTCCACCACATATTATAGAAGGGAACAACCACAAGAGAATAACATACATCAGAAGGTTAGGCTAGGAAAAAACAAGGTTGGGGGTTAATAATTTCACGTTAGTAGAAGAGGGATGGGTCGTATGGGAGGGGAAATGGAGGAGGCTGGTTCCCAGGGCAGAGGCAGGCCACTGCCCTCAGGTGAGTCACCATCACTGTGTCATCCACACCCTGTCAGGGCCTCTTGAAAAATCCCTCAAAGCCATCATCACTGTCTCTGCCTCTGTCACTATCACTGGGCTTCTGGGCTGGCTGTGGTGGGCTGCAGTGTGGCTGAAACCCAAGTTATGCTTGCTGACGGGCTGGTGCTTATGCTACGTGTTAAACCTTTGGGATGTAGGGCCCCATAGTTCGCAACAGCCAGGGGTAGTGAAGATTTACACCTGTTAGCCAGGGTCGCCGGAGAAAGGAGGAGCTTGACTTTCAATACACCTCGGCGGCACCCCTTACATTACTATGGTTTAACTGGCGCTCTTCTTGGGATGACGCAGCACCACCTGCCTCTTCACTGACGCCATCTTCATCTACCATCCGCCGCAGTCACATCAGGATCCCTTATCACTTCCAGGATGTCGCTGGCAGGTCTCGGAGAAGCCTGCAGCTGTAACTCTCGCGCAGCTTCTTCTGGCAAGGTCCACTGTTACTGGCAAATAGTCTGAACCTACTATCAAGCAGATTTGTTTTCTGCCCAACAATCTTCGAATACCTTGCAACATACAAGTTCTGGCGCGTGATTTAATAGTTGCTACAGACAGCTGATCCCATGTTCTCCACCAAGAAGTCCACAGCTTTCTTGATGTTAAATACTCTCCAGAATTGTTTGAACAGTATTTTTGCTGTGCCAACTGTTGATCCTCATCTTTTTCGCCTTATTATCGGTGGTGTGCTGTACTTTTCCCTGGTGTTGGTGTAGTCATTCAGGAGTTTGAATTTTTTTCAGAGAAATGCAGCTTACATTACAGAATAACTCTTGGTCTGGCGTGGGCTGTAATATAGACTTAGTGTTGGAGTGAAGGAAGACCACTTTACGGGCCAAGAGACGATCTAACAGTAGGAAGGGAGGGGTCCTGGTGTTGTCCAGCAGCAAAATCTGAATGGCACATTCTGTTGCTCACAGAATATCTTACATCGGGAACAAAACAGTGTCATCAAACTACAGAGAGGACAGTGTAGAGAATATCCACGCCTTACGTATGGGTCAAATAGTGGACATTTAGCTTGGTCATGTCCACGGTTTTGTAGGCGTGCGTCATGCAGCTGTGGACTAATGATAACTTGAGCTTACTGGTACCGGAGTGCATTGTGAAACAGGACGGTGATATGCCTTTTTCTGCAATCTCTCCCGCGTCTGGATACTTGCTGCATTCTTCAAAACAAAGGTTGTCTTGGAAGGTAGCTTTTTCCCAAAAAGACCAGATTCGTCCATGTTAAACACTGGTTGTCGGTGTACTGTCCTTTTTCCTCCATAATCTCACATAAAAAAAAACGGATGAAATTCTATCGTGAACACTGTCAGCACTATTTCTTCACCACCAATGTTGATATTGGTGATCTTGTTCCTCTTCTTAAACCTCTGTAACCACCCAGAGGAAGCATTAAAGGGTTGGGCTCTGCAATTCCCATCTTTCGTGACACTGCAGCATACAGTTCACGTGCGTACTCCTTAACTGAGCGCGTGTCCACCGCCATGTTCCGTCGCGCCTGACGAACCAAGTAGCTCACAAGTAATTTTTCCGTCATGAGAAGCACCTGGTTGTGGCAATACTTGATCATAGAAGCACCTGTAGACTTTGTGATGTTCATGTGCTCCTTTATCTTGGCTGCATCCTTCTTAATTGTCCTGATCGTAGACTCATTAACACCATGCTGGCGTGCGAGATCAACCTGTCTTGTTCCTTTCTCCAACTCTTGTATGATCTTATATTTAATTTCGTAGCTTAATGAACGTAGTGTCTTCTTTGGCTTAGGGCGGCTGGGTCCAGGTAATGCAAGGTTTCTTTGTGGTGGTGGTGGTGGTGGTCCGGTGGAAGCCATTCTTATGGAACAATGGATACCGATATACACAGTGTAGCAGGGAGGGGTGTAACTGACGCTGGTAGGTCAAGGGGCTTGAACGCTCCCGCGGCGGGGCACGTCATAGTA